AGATTAAAGGAAGAGGAAGGACATAAACAAACTAACTCAAAATACAATCAACAAAAACAATATCATACTGTACCTAATGATGGTGGACTGACTGTTGTTCCTCTCTCCTTACACTCACAAGGACTACTACTGCTGCTACTATCCACTGTACCACCTCCATCAGTAATAGCATTATTATTTTTATTGTTGTTATTATTATTGTTGTTGTTGTTGTTTTCTTCTAGTAATTCTGTGCGAGGTATTCTCCTATTGTTAAAGGTCGTTACTGGTTCCTTGATGGTCTCCTCTTCTCCTAATAGTTGGATAGTTCTTATAGTATAGACTGTCATTAGTAGCCCTAGGGTCATGGCCGCTAGGAATAAAGACACATTGGATCTACAGCAACACAATCTAGCCATCTAGCTTGAATCAGAAGAGACACGCCCTATTTTGTATGGGTGGGGCTTGTTTCTATGGGTGGGGCTTGTAACTATGACTGCTCTTTGCTCATTTTTGAGGGCACACTCGGCACAGAGCTGAGGTAAGCTCATCTGCAACAAAGTAGTGTTGTTCTAGTATGGAATTGTATTTTAGTTCTAGTTCTAGTTTTTTGACTAAAAATACTATAATTTTAGTTCTAGTTCTAGTTTTTAACTAAAAATATATTAATTTTAGTTTTAGTCCTAGTTCTTTGACAAGAAATACAATAATTTTAGTTCTAGTTCTAGTTCTCTGACAATAAATACAACAATTTTAGTTCTAGTTCTAGGTTTTTGACTAAAAATACAGTGATTTTAGTTCTAGTTCTAGTTTTTTGACTAGAAATACTGGGATTTTAGTTCTAGTTATAGTTCTTTAAACTAAAATTATGGTAATTTTTGTTCTAGTATTAGTTTAGAACTAAAGCCTCCAATACTTATGTTCCAGTTAAGTCATGCCAAAAATTGGAGTAATTTAAATACTAGTAGTAGCTCTTAACTAAAATCTTTTTTGTTATATTGCTGAGTTATGTTTCAAATGTACATCAAATGCAATATACACAAAGTAATAAGTTTTACTGCTGCCAATAAAATGATCGAAATGTCACTGGTACAGTTTATATAAAAATGTAACAGCTAGGCTTTGCCTAAAAACATGTTCACCTGTTTATTTTAGTAGTTTGTAACCAATATTTTCAATTCTAGTATTAGTTCTAGTTCTAAGGAGGTTCAATAATTGTAGTTCCAGTATTAGTTCTAGTATTTCAGGATTAATAATTTTAGTTCTAGTATAGAGCTCTAGTTCTTCAAATAAATAATTTTAGTTCTAGTATTAGTTCTAGTACTTCAAATAATAATTTTAGTTCTAGTATTAGTTCTAGTATTTCAGCTACAAAAAAATTAGTTCTAGTTCTAGTTCTATAGTATTTCAGCTACAAAAAAAATAGTTCTAGTTCTAGTTCTAGTTTTTAGAACTAGAACTAAGCAGAACAATAATTATTTAGTTCTAGTATAGAAGAACTAGAACAACACTACAACAAAGACAAGCCCTTTTGCAAGTTACAAGATGATTGATGTCTCTCAATGGAGAGCAAGTATTGGACTGTGGAACTACTGTCAAGCTGCCTCCAGTAGACCAGCTAACGGTCACCCTGTGGCACATCAGAGCAAGTCAGATAGCACTAAAAGAAAACAGAGGTCATCTTTGGTTTTATCCTTCATGGTTCTCCTCCTTTTCATCTCTATCCTCTGCTCTGGTTATCTCAAATTTGACTACAAGCCTCATCTCAAAGGTATAGATGTTGATATCTTGGGGCTAGTGTCATTAATTATTTTTATAATCAGTGGATAATGTAGCGCACAAATGATATTAAAAATTACAGTACAAATTTAATGACACTAATTTTTTTAAAAACTGCAGTACAGCTGCTGTTGAAAAATACATGTACAAAATTTCTGGTAATTTTGGAGTGGTGAATTTGGTACTTATAAAATAAAGCCGAAAATATGGGATGGCATGCATGCTCAATGGCACATGACCGTGGACAAAATTAAAACCCCACTCATTATCAAAAATGTACCAATTTACAAATTATAACACTCCAACATTACCAGTTATATGCTACAGGTACTGTGTATAACATCATTATCATACATTATACATTACTAGGTGTAGTTACTCATTGCTACTGGTCTAAAGTACAGTGTACTAGCACTGACAATAGCTACCTACTTCAGTCTATGGCCCCTGGGTCTGATGTTAGCAGTAATTATGATGTGTTCTATAGTCTAGTGTATTTGATGTACCGCCTCCTCTTATCAGGAGATGTTGAACTCAATCCTGGTCCTTTAACAGGTAAACATACACTTAATACAACACTCATTAACTGATACACTACTGCAGGTAATCCAAAGGATATATTAAGGACTCATTCTGTTAAACTTGTTGATAGTATTTCTATTGACATTCCAAGAACAGCATATGCACTGTATGCTGAAGGACTGATACCACAACAAACTAAACAGGAAATGCTTGTACCAGCAGTTGATAATTATACTAAAGCTGCCAACCTTATGGATGTCATTGAAAAACAGTTGAAATCCTCTCTTAGTCCAGAGCAGTATCTTATTGATATATGTCATGTATTAATAAACCAACAACATCGTACACTAACAGATATTGCTACCTCTATATTACACCAGTTAGGTGAGTGTGTGTGTGTACATTATCAGTGATCAATATAGTCATTATATCTCAATACATTAGGTCAGTCTATACTTGCAGATAATGTCACATCCATTAGTTCAATACCTGATGATGTTCAAGGATATGCTGACAATATGAGACAACACTACAAACACCAACCTATTGTTGCTACAGACTGGCCACCAAGAATTGGAAAAGATTTCTTTGGAAGACTAGCACTAGTTGAAAAACAAGACTCCAGCACACAAGCAGAATCAGCTTGGCATATGCTAAGAGGACAAGTTGATAAAACAGTTAAACTAACTGAAAGCAAAGAGATAAGTTTTGAAGATGTCCTCCAACCCACAGATAGTTCTCTGTCTCTCAAAGTAGTAATAGACGGTCCTCCTGGTATTGGCAAGACCACACTCTGTCGTAAACTGTTAAATATGTGGTCTAATGGACCACTTGTACACCAACAGTATGACTTGGTACTTTACTGTCCTTTAAGGAATAGCAAGATAGCTACAGCTACTACACTAGCTGACCTGTTTGTGCGTCAACGTTATGAAGATATAAAAATGTACCTGAATGGTTTGAGAAGAGGAATGGAGAAGGATTACTGATAATCTTTGATGGTTGGGATGAACTAAGTGAACAACTCAGACAGTCTTCATTAGCTGCTAGTATCATTTGTAAAGAAAAGTTAGACCAATGTTCAGTAATTGTTACCTCTCGTAGCTATGCCTCCTCTTCACTTTTGAAAATGGATACTCTCAGTAGACATGTTCAGGTCATTGGGCTTTCTAAGGAAGAAATATCAACAGTAATTATACAAACACTTCAAAAAGATACAAAACTAGCACAAGAACTCATTGATGAAAATACAACAGAATATGGCTACAAATTCCATTTCACAACTACTCAAAGCAGTAAAGACTCAAAACTAGCAGTAAAACTCATTAATGATCTTGAAGTACGAAATGATGTCCAATCATTGTGTTATGTACCACTAGTCTGTTCCATGGTCATCTTAGTTTATTGTAAGGAAGGAGGACACTTACCAACAACACTCACTCAACTCTATGAGAACTTTATCCTACAAACTATCAGAAGACATGTTAAAAGACATGACATTAACCCACATACTTTAGGTAGTCTTTCTTCATTACCATCACAATTAGCTAAACCTTTACAAGAGATGTGTCAATTAGCTTATACTAACCTGGCTAATACAAGAATGACATTCTCTTCACATCAACTACAGTCACTGAGTGAGGCAGTCAAGGAAGACTATCTTGGATTGATGACGAGATTCACAGAATATGATGAGGAGAAGCATCAGTTCCTTCACTTGAGTATACAGGAATTTCTAGCTGCATGGTGGATAGCTAAGCATGAG